CTGCTGAGGACATGCAAAACCTCTCGGGAAACACTGGGAAGAACCAAAACCCCCTTCCTCAGCCTCGTGCCCGGAGCCCTCAGCAGTGCTCCCCAACAGAGGAGGAGCCCTTCCGGAGGCAGCAGGAAAAGCCATCAAGGACGTTTCAGAAATCGATTAAACTGTACCCGTATTATTTAAGTGAATAAAATTTTTAACTGCAGCATTGGGGACAAAAAGACACTCATCTCGACAGATTAATTTGCTACCAGGAACCCTGCATGCCTCAAATTTCGGGCACCGTTGCTTCATCCTAGTGTTTGCTTCATCTGTGCATTGGTTGGTCATCTGCATCCACTCGTTGGCTTCAGTGTTGCAGAAAAAGCAAATTTTAAGTCCTCGCTGAGACAGGCCTTCACGTGATCAGTTTTTTACGCTGTCTAGGTTTTTATCTGCTTTGGTGGATATTTTTGTTTAGCATTTGCAAACATTCTCCAGAAATCCTACAGCCGTCTCTTCCCGCTCTAGGCACCGCACAGTGAATCTACTGGTAAAGCCCAAGTGAAGAGACCGAAGATGAAGGATCATTCCAGCCTGCAAACCCTCTGACAATTAAATATACTGCAGAAAGGGCACAGACACATTCAGGCTCCCTATTAGGGAAAACTCTCATGTGCTTAGTTTTAAGCATGTGGTTAAATCCATTCTTCTTTGCAAAATCTTTGAGACATAAGCACATGCCAAAGTGCATTCCTGAGTAAGGATGCTTCCCTGAACCAAGGCCATAATTCATTAAAACCCAAGGTGCATTTATCCTACTTTTTCCCGTGAGCAGGGATGTGAAAGAAGGGGAGAGGGAAAAAAAGAAAACAAGCAAAGAATTAATTTTTATTTGAAACTGATCTATGGTGACAAGGGGCATTTGGTTTTGTTGAAGTAACTAGAAGTGGGAAGTATTTCAGAAGATATCTAAATAAATCTTTTTAAAGGGGTTTCTCCCTCTCTCTCTTTCTTTCTTTCCTTTTCCCTCTAATTACCCATGTCTGGTAGTCTTGGATCTCAACCCCTTGTTATTTAAAATACATATTCATGGAACTATATTTTACAGTTGCACTGTTCTGGTTACAAAATAGCTTCTACTTTTCTAGGACATAATTTCATTTTGTTTAGCCAAGAATTCATTAAAGAAGCTATAAATAACCTCCTTTAAATATTTAGCCGTGAATAGAGGGTGGACTGGCATTGATGGCTTATTTTAGTACTAATGCAATATGCTTTAAAAAAAAAAATCCGCATTTGAGCATGAATCAAGTTAATCATTAACACTTTCAACGTGATTCTCTGGATCCGCTTAAAACGGAGACTGCCCTGTCCAAGCCAGCGAGCTTCGGGCGCGGGAGGGCTGCCCAACTTTCCCTTCAGTTTTTCTTTCAGCACAACACAATTTGCCCCGTATCGCAGGGAAAACACAGCCCCGCGGCTCCAGTGGGCTGCTCCCCCAGGCAGGCACCCTGGCTATCGGCCCCTTCTTGCCCTCCTGCTGCCACACAACTTGGCCAGCATTTTCTGCCCATGAAACTACGCCACCTTCCCAAAGACATAGCAGAGAGCATCAGTTAGGTGGAGTGCAGCCTTTTTTAAAAGTCACCTTAGAAAAAGAAGTCCCAAGGCCTCCACCTCCCTTTTAAGACAGACAAAGTATTGAAAAACGGGGAGTTGGTGATTCTGTTTTAATGCATGGAGCTGCACTATGAGCTAATCTGCTGTGATCTGAGAGCAAAGGATAGGAGCGCAAGGCGCGGTAATTTCAGGGGAAGGTGAGGAAACGGCATTAGCTGATGCCTGATGCCCTGTTCCTGGATGGCCAGGATTTGGAAAACCAGATGCTGGTGGCTCTCAGGCTGCATGTTTACAAAGCCACCGAACTGTGGCCAAAAGCAAATCCTTCCTTACACCTCCCAAGTCTTTTTGCCTCACTTTTTAGGCTGTGGTTTGATGATGTCAGCTGGAGAGTAACACCAGTTTAAGGTACTCCCTGTGCCCTCTGCCAATGTTTTCCCTTGTCCTTGCTTAACACATAACCCCTCCAACTGCTGATATTGATATGCTGAGAAAGAGATTAGAAACTCACTAGCTTCAAAAACACACGCACAACTATTGAAAAAAAACCCAAACTCAGTAGTTTTTTTTAAACCCAGCTCCGTCGCCTATTATCATTCAAGGGGTGGCCCCAACAAAAGCTGTGTCAGCACAAGGGAGGGGATGGCAAGAAGACAGGAAGGAGCTGCTGGGCAGGGACTCCTAAAGCCAGGATTGCTCTCAGTCAAGAGGAGGATACACAAAACTGTACCCCGAGTGCTGCAGTGCTGTTGCATTTTGAAATAAAGTTGAAGCATTAAGACATTTTTCCTTAGTGCTGACTCCCTCTGGGCATTCCCAAGACAATTACAATGTTTTCTGAGTATACAAAAGGACTAGGAGATTTTGTAATCAGAGTCTGAGTTTATGCTTCTCTCCTTAAGAGCATTCAATTTCCATGGACATTCATTAGCAGGAGGTTAAAACACAATGGCAGAAGAGAATGGACTGCTTTTATGTCCATGTGGTAGTAAACACTTCAAGCTAGAAATGCAAGTTCAAAATAAAAACCTCTCCGTGTTGTTTCCAAATTACTAGTAAAGCAACAAAAACCACACAACTCTCACAGCTTTTTTACTGAAAATTTAATTTTACAAAATACCCTTTTCCATCAAAGAAACTTCCCTGCAATGTACATGAACCCAGCGTTTTATAGATCTGTACAGTGAGATACCAGAGAGGTTTGAAAGAAGGAAAAAAACTTTTAGCAGACACCTAGTTGCAAAACCTACAACAATGTGAATACAAGTGTGTCTTAAAATGCTAAAGCAAGTAATGTAATATAATTGGTGAATCTATTTGAAATGTGAAAAGTTTCCTTAAAATGGTCCATATGGTATGTAGAACATCACAGCTGGCACAAAACTGCCTGTATTTAGGTTTAAACACAAAAACAATGTATGTAAGGAACAGTTTTTGAAAAAGAACCCAAGTGCTGCTATCATAAGGCAAACATACAAAGGTGCTGACAGCACACAGGGAAATCGACAAAGAAAGATGAATACTCAAGTGTTCAAACACTGAACTTTTCTTTTTTTAATGTTGCCAATAAACATTTAAAAGATAACCAATGCCAAATTAACATAGGACACCCTTTTAACTAGCTAGGTGTAACGCATATAGTCTTACATAGTCTCAACAAACATCAAACTAGGCAGGAGTACTCCAACTTCGGCTCGCTGGGCAGGACCTAGTTAGTCTGTTGCATTCTGGCAGCTTTGAATTTTGAAATCCTCTTTGTAGTTTCTTCTGATGCTTCGGACAAAACTTCCTCTGATTTTCGCTCCAGAATGGTAGGCAGGACTGGGTGAGCAATGACTGGGTGTGGTATTAAGGAGGGAGACAAAGGCTCCTTTTCTATAACAGTTCCGGAAAATGCCTACAACAGAAGAGAATACTCAAAATGAGCTAATAAAATGCAAATGTGAAGCTATGCCCATAAGGTCATTACCCTATATTAGCCTGATTAGGATTGTTATTTCTTTTAATCAAAAGTAAAGAAATATCTTTAAATCAATGATTGTTCCTTGCATAAGTAACCAAATTGTAATTAACCTCAAAATATAGCTTGTTCAAAGATGACTGAATGAAAGACAGTGTCTTAAAAGTACTACTTAATCTCATTCCTACTGCATAAATGATCTAAAAATTTGCTTCCTCACTGACACATGCTCAAGAAATAAAACAGCTGATGTAATATATAGTTTCATTTTGGATAAGAAATTGAGAGATTTTGCAAAGTTGGAGTATGTCAGCATTTCCATCATACGTCATATTTTATGACTTAATATCTTCTAATTGCATCAAGCTGACACACTGCATATAAATTGGCAAGCACATATTTTGTTTGTTCTTTTCTCCTTACCAAATATGATCAAAAAATGGTGAAAGCAGTTTATACTTAAGAGAACGGCAAACTTGCTTCCAACTATGTCTCTGTATAAAAGGTCTAATAAAAATACTTAATGTTTAAAAATGATAGTTTACATGCAGCCGATTATGTGACTTAATCCTTTTTAACTTAGCTAAGAAATGACCGTGATTCTTGGAAAACACTGGGAAAAAAGCAACTCAGAACTACTTTTCATAAACATATTTAAGAATAAATCACCCTACTATGTACTGAAAACAGAAAATTCAGAATGCCTAAGGACAAGGGGAAGCAGTTTACATCTGAGGTTTGATGCTTATACTGGGCACAAAGGAATTTACACCAGATTTATCAACTATGCTTAGTTCTGCCTGTCATAACTCAGTTACCAAGAAAAACAAACCAAAACAAACCAGCCATTCTTTTCTTGCAGGACCTGCAAAAAAGCAGTGCTTTTTTGTTTTCTGCTCCAATAGCCAAATTATGCCTAAAGCCGTGCCTGTACACAACTGTGTTGTTCTAACAACACACTCACTTTCAAAAACAGGTAAGCAAAATACAACCTAAGAAGATTGTGGTAAAATTAGAAACAAAAAGAAAAAAAGTTAGTGTATTGCAAATGATAATGGAGAAATAATGTATTTCAAACACCCACAAAAACAACCAAAAGCAAAACAACAGCATTTAGGAAGGCATGTCTAACTGGAGTGTTTTGCTCATTTCTCCTTCAGTTACTTAGAAAATACATTATATTGTAGAGAATAATCATGCCATATTCAGAAAATGGACTAACAGGTAACATCTGAAGTGTACTTAGATGTTTTATAAAAATATAGCAAACATATTCCAGCAAGTATACAACGTGAAGTGCTAACTCTACAAATGGATCTTCCACCATGAATCTTCACATCCTGCCTGGATTCATCTGTAGCTGTTTGTATGAAAAATGATGTTAAACAATAGCTTTTATGAGGAATTCATTTCTTGTCAAAAATAATTTTTCTAAAAATAGTGTTTTCATTGAACTTGCCCATTGCATTGGGAACTACTAGTTTCATCTAGTTTGGAAAAATTAGTGTAAGTTCTTACAAAATAAAAATGAAGAATACTCTATGCCATGAATTTCAGAGCAACGGCTACATTTAATTCTTGTGCTCATCTAGTCACTAAGCAACTGTACATTTTCCCTTACGTCGTACAGTCTCTCTCCTTTATGATGAAGCCCTGAACTTTCCAAACGTGTGAAAATAGATTTGTTTGGGATCACTCATGGCCCTAGTCTGGAATAGGATGAGTAGAGGTGTAGTGCTTCCTTCCACAGGGCAATTCCTCTGCCTTTGGCAAGTCCAAATAATAACTCAGCTGATATTTGTGTGTTTTAAAACTTAAAAACACCACGTGGAAATTAGCTGTCTAGTAGCTGTGCAACACAGGTTACAGAGAATCAACTCTTCCCTCTCATCAACTATGAAGCACCGATTTTTCTCTTTTTTTTTTAATCCTGCTGTATATCGTGCAGTGAAATTTTCAGGATGACCCAGTAGACATGACATTGGTTTCAGTAACACCAGCAAGTGACTACTTTGTCAGATCTTTATGGAAGAGCTTCAGGTCTCGGGGAAGCCACCTGCCTCGTCTCCTCCCCTCTGCCCCTAGGATGCGTATGACAGAAGCTTGTCACCTGACAACATCCTTCTGAAGCAAACAAGGTAGGAGTTAGAAGATTATTTTAAAGAAATCAAACTGATGGTATAGGCAACTACAGTCATTAGATTTCTCATTTTTATCCCTGCTAACAATCAATAATTAATTAAAAACTGTACCTCGGTTGTCCCTGGAGAGGGAGGAAGCTTTTTTGGTAGCTGCTGCTGCCCCTCCTCCTCCTCTTCCTCCAGTATGCCTTCGCTGTTGTCACTCTGAGTAGCTTCATCACAGCTAATACTCCTCTGAACTCCTCGTCTGTCATCAAACTCAGCAGCACTGTTCTCACTGGTATCGCTACAAACACTGTTCTCTCTGCTTCGAGACTTCAAAATTGATTTACGAGGGACATATTCTCCATTCACAACATCAACAAAGACTCTATAAAGGAAAATGTTAGCTTTAATAAACCATTTCAGGATCAGATGACAAATTTACAGTGATCTTGCTTTGTCTTTTGTACAAATTAATTATGATGTGCTTTTCCAACTTTTTCGCTGCAGAATTACAACACTGTACCTTTAGAGGCATTTTATTTACCGACGTACAAGAATCAGTTCTGCAGAGCAAACACTGTTATGCCCTTTATTCAAGCATTAAG